GTAGTTGTTAAAATATTTTAATTAAAATATAATTGACTTAACATTACATGAGTTTCAGATGTACAACATAATGATTTGATATTTATGTGTATAGTGAAATGATAGCCACAGTAAATCTAGTTAGCATTCAGCGCTGCATATAGCTACAGTTTTTTGTGTGTAGTGAGAAGTTTTCAGATCTAATTTTTTAGCATCCTTAAATGTATAATACTATATTATTTATTAACTATAGTCTCCATTCTATTCAGTCATATCCAGGGCAAGTCTTTAAATTCTTTATCCTTATGTTCAGAAGATAATTTCTTCCTACTTACAAGAGAAAAACAGAGGTCTTTAAACATAAATTTCTATGTCTTATTTTTCATATTGTATCATTTCACTATTACTCACTAAAAGAATGTTTTCCAATGGCCCTACCAACTCTATTACCCTCCAATTTCTTTGAAGTCGTATCATTCTATTATATCCGATCTATTTCATCTTTAGCTTCTTATATCCAGTTACTTATTTATCCATAGGCTTAAAAATGCTCTCATCTATCCTATCAGAAAAATAAAATTTGAGTTCACTTTCCTTCCCTGCCCCACACTATATTGACTTCATCTTTCCCCTACGACAAAAATATTCATGTTTTGTTTTCTCTTGCCATCAACATTTTCAAATATTCTTATCATGTTTCCCTATCATTCTGGTGAAGGTGCTTTCTGTGAAATCACCTTCCCATCATACAAGGTAGGTGTACTAGGCAACACTTAACCTGCTGTAATCTGGCAATGATAATTTTCCCTTATTTCAAGAAATTGTGCTGTTCATTGTTTTTTCTCTGTTTTTAAAAATTGTGTCTTGTGTCTCTGAGTGTCACTTTTCTTTCTCATTGAGTGCAAACTTGAATGTACAAATTTCCCAATATTTTACACTTGTCTCTCTTTACGCTCTCCACTGTGTTCCTCAGATATTTTGTCACTGCAGCCTATACCCTTCTGTCTCTGTATATGATAAATCTTAGAGTAGACTTCCTCCTGAGTTAAACGATAAAGCAAGTGGAATCTTGGCTTAGTGTCTGGATCATTTTCTCTAAAATTTCAGTAGTTTTTCAAGCTAAGACATTATCTTCTGGAAACAACTCCTGGACGTACACATCAAATGTTCAGATTTGAATATCAAATCTTGAATAACCTCTGTACAAACTCCCTTAATTATCTTTGATCTGTTTTGTTTTCATCCTGTGCTCTATTGATTCTTTGTGACATGGCTTTAGAATATCCACTCTTCAGCACATGTTTTCTATTTGCTATCAATATACTTGTTAACATCTTTTTAACTTGTGTGAGCCACTCGTCATCTAGGGTATCAACAGTTAGTTTCTACAGTGTTAATCTGAATTATTTCTTTCAAACTGACACAGTCACATCATTTCTTTGCTTCAAAATTGGCTACCATTTTCAGCAATAACTCAATGAAAGAGACACTTTAAATCCATAAGGCTGTATTTATGCTCTGAACCCTCTGGTGTAGGGACAGTCACCGGGCTTGCTGTTCAGATCAGCATTCTGTTATACATTCCATTACGCTAACATGTTGTTTCATCTAAAGACGAAACTTAGAGAAGAACTTATGCCCACTGTTGCTCAGATTTTTTTTCAAAATTGTAAGAAGAAATTCTCCCTAATGCATTTCATGATGTCATCATTACCTTAATATTGAAAGATAAAGACATCACAAGAAAAGGAAATTATAGATCAACTTCCCTGATAAACATCAGTGTAAAAATCTTCAATAAAATATTAGCAAATCAGTTACAACTGAGATGGAAAAAGGCACAAAATGATGTAAAAATAAACTATTATAATAAAAACATACTGGCAATCAATTTCAACAATATGTCAAAAGATTGTGCATCACAATCAAGTGGGTTATATCTCAGGCCATGTATTTTAAGGTAACAGCTAATATAATATTTAATGATGAAAACCTGAAAACTTTCCCTTTGAGATCATGAAGAAAACAAGAATGTTCACTGCAACCACTTCTATTGAATTTAGAATTAGAGGTTTTGACAAAGAAATCAGACAACAATAGGAAATAAAGGCAATCAACACACAAAAAAGTGAAACTATCATTATTCCTAAATAATATAATGCTATATATAAAAAAGCCTATGGACTTCACTCCAAAACTAAAGAAACAATAGATGAATATAGCTAAGAGACAGTTTGCAAATTCAACATACAAGATCTGTTGCATTTTTATACACAAACAATAAGCATAAAAAATAAATTAGAGGCCTCCATGGCAACACGAGGGGTTAAAGTGCAGCACTGTGAGGCTACCTGCAACCATCCCCCACCAGGGAGTGACCCATATGGCACAGCAGACCTCTCCTGTCTCACCTGCTGCTTACCACAGCAGTGTATTTTGGCTAATCCTTCTGTTCTGTTCCCACTCTGTCTCTGTAAATCCTCTTATCCCCTGCATCTCTGGCCTGTACCCCAATTCTTGTATGCATAAATGAATACATTTTAAACGAGAAAAAAAATTAATAAAATGATTCCATTCAAAATTGCTTTAAAATGAATTAAATAGTACTGAGTTAACAAACAGGTGAAGGACTTGTACAACGAGAATTACAAATTCACTATGAGAGCTTAATTTAGGAGCCTACCATGATTCTGTATTAGCAGGCCAGAACTTCCTAGCAAGTATTTTTAAAGTCAAAGTTTCGGTATTTGAAAACTGTTAAACAATCTTGCACGATTCTCTTGGAACTTTGCTTTATTCATGCATTTGCAATAATGATGACTGGTGAATGTATTCAAAAGAGCATCTTGGTCAACGTGTCATTTTTAGTGTGAAGTCAACCTTTCTGTGTGGATTTATTCCCCATCTTGGAAAAACGTACTGTTTTTTGCCTTTGTAGCTAGTGCTTTGGGTGTCATATTCAATCAGCTGTCAAGACCAATTTATAAGAGTTTTTTATCCCTTTGTTGGGTTCTAGGATTTTAACAGTTTTGGGCCTCATTAGAAAACTTTAGTCCATTTCTTTTAAATTTTTGTGAGTTTGGTAAAATAGCGCTCCAACTTTATTTCTCTGTGTTGTTTATCCAGTTTTCCCAGCCCTACTTATTGAAGGCACTCTTTTTCACCCTGAGTATTATTCCAGGTTTCACTGTCAAATATTAGTTGTCATTTATGCAAAAAGATTATTTCTAGATGATGCCTTTTTCTCCCTGTGCTAATGGGTTTGTTTTTATATCTGTACTGTACTATTTTGATTACCATAACTTTGTAGTGTGGTTTGAAATCAGAAAGTGTGATGCCATCACCTTTTTTTTTTCAGAATTGCTTTGGCAATGGCTTTTATGGTTCCATAAAAATTTTAGTATATATATTTATACCACTGAAATTTTGATAGGGAATGCATTGAATGTTAGATGGCTTTCTAGGGCATGTGCACATTTTATCAATATTCATACTTCCAATTCATTCCATTAATTTTTAGTTCTTCAATTTATTTCATCAGAATTTTGAAGTTTTCATTTTATTGATATTTTCCCTCTGTGGTCAAATTTACTCTTTTATATTTTATTGTTTTTGATGCTATTATGAATAAATTGCTTCTTTTTAATTTCATTTGTGATATTTGCTGTTATTGTACAGAAAGGCAACTCATTTCTGTATACTGATATTTATCTCTTGCAACTACTCTGATTCATTGGTTAGCTATAACAGGTTTTTGATGGAGTTTTTAGGACTTTCTACATATAAGATAATACCATCTCCAAACAAAAATGTTATTTCATGATTTGGATGCCTTCCATTTCTTTGGTGGTGTATATTACCAAATATTCAAAGAAGCATCAATACTGTACTTCTTAGCTCATTCAAAACACTTTATATGTGGCCAGTATTATCCTGTTATTAAAACCAAACAAAGATCCCAGAAGAAAAGAAGTTTACAGGCCAGTATCTCCAGTGAACATAGATGCAACAAAATACGAGCAAACTAAATTCAACAATACATTGAAAGGATTGTCTTTTTCAGTTTCTTTCATCAAAATCATAGTTTCAGTATAAAGATTTTTCCTCCCTCCTTGGGAAAATATTTTCTTAAGTATTTGATTGTTTTTGTTGCTATTGTGCAGTAAATATGGATGTTTTCTTAATTTCCCTTTCTGATAGTTTGTTGTTGGTGTATATATATATTCACAGCTGATTTTGTGTATTAGTTCTGTATCTTGCAACTTTACTGAAGCCATTTATTCTGATTTCTTTTTGGTGGGGTCTTTAGAATATAATACATCATTTCATCAACAAATAGAAGCAATTTTTCTTCTTCCTTTTTAATATTTTTTCTTGCTTAATTGTTTTTGGAAAAGACTTGAATACTATGGTGAATCAAATTGGCAATGCTGGTAAGGAATTACATGTTTTAAGAATACCATGAAATCCCCATTTGCTCACTTTTTTGAGGTTTTTAACACTTTCTACTTATTTATTATTAATAATCAATGACCTTTTAATCAGTGCTCTGTCTTCTCCATATAATAAAATTTAAAGATATCAGGACAAAAATTTGAATCCCTTTGTAGGTACTTTGGCACTCTCTTGGCTTAATTCCATGATAAAAATGACAGTCACACAAAATGTCATTGAGAAAGAAGAGTATCCTATGATTTTATTTGGACGTAATAAAATCAGTCTGTTCACAGCACTGAAATATTGATTTGTGGTTTTGTTAGATTTTTAATTAATGTGGCCAACTGGGAAAGAAGGTGATAACTTTAAGTTCAGACCTAAGATACCATGCAAATTATAGTTTACCTATGGTGTAGGGATTCTGCAGCACTATATTTGGAGTTTTATAATACATAGTCCAAAATTCTGTCCTTGGAAGCTTTTGTTGGATAGGCTGGAATGTGTAAATGAATTTTTAAAGTTCGCCTCAAGAATGACTGACTTCTGTTAACTGAGAAGCATTTGTAGGGGAAGTCTGTGTCACCTTACTTACTAGACACCAGTTTCTTCAGGGCATTCTTCACATCCTTGTTTCTCAGTGTGTAGATGACAGGGTTCAGCATGGGTGTCACCAAGTTGTAGAAGAGAGTCAGGAATTTCCCTTGGTCCTGAGAAGAATTATTTCCTGGTTGCATGTACATGTAGATAATGTTCCCGTAGAACAAGGACACCACGGTGAGATGGGACCCACATGTGTTGAAAGCCTTCCTTCTTCCAGCAGTTGACTTGATCTTGGTCACTGCTAGGGCGATGTAGCAGTAAGAGATCAGAATGAGTGACAGAGGCACCAGGACAATGATGACGGACAGAATGAAAACAGTGCTCTCCACAGCCACCGTGTCCACGCACGCAGTTTTTATCAGAGCCGGCATCTCGCACAGGAAGTGCTTCACCCGACATCTCCCACACCGTGGTAGCTTCATGGTCACTGGAGACATAACCAGGGAGTTGAGGAGCCCAACAATCCAGGCCACAGACACCAAATGCCAGCAGAGCTGAGGGTGCATAATGACGGAATAGTGCAGAGGCTTGCAGATGGCAGTGAAGCGGTCGTACGCCATGACGGCCAGCAGGACACACTCCGTGCCACCCGACCCCAGGAACATGAAGAGCTGGATGGCACAGCCGGTGTAACTGATGGTTTTGTCTGGGCCACCTAAGTTGAAAAGCAGTTGGGGGATGGAGCTGGTGGTAAAGCAGAGATCTAGGAAGGATAAGTTGGTGAGGAAGAAGTACATGGGCGTGTGGAGGCTGGGGTCCAGGCGGGAAACCAGGATAATGACGATGTTGCCAACTAAGGTCACGAGGTAGAAGATGAGGACAAACACAAAGAGGATGTGCTCTAGCCAGGGTCTGTCTGAGAAACCCAACAAGATGAAGCGTTCGTGGCAGCTCTCGTTGGTCATGACGGTGGATATTCACGACGCGCCTACAGGGAAGCAGACAGGAACACACCGGGTTTATCAGGAAGCCATCTCAAGTGGTCATGGAAAGTCATACAACTTCAATATTCTGTGCAGTACAAATTATATATTTTAAGACAACATCTCCTTTTATTTGGCGCTTTTTTTTTGGTTATAATATAACAAAAACTACAGATCATTGTACAAAAGAAACAAAAAGGTTATGCCATAAGAACAGCCACTATTAGGATACTGATTTGTTTCTTTTCAGTCTTTTCTGTGTGTACCTATAATTTAACACCTCCTAAATAGTGCTCTTACTTCCTCTCAGTCAGTTTTAAATTTCAAGAATTTGCTTTTTAAAAAAAAAATTGACAAAAAGTAAGCATGAATGTCTGCACAGCTGTGTCATTTTTCCCAACATTTTTCTGTAGTTGGATATTATGGGTCCTTAAAGGAGTAGTTTTAAGGTCTTGATAAGAGAGAGTATGAAAGTAAGTTTTTCTACACTCTGACCAGCAGATTTTCCCCTAAATCTTTGCAGTTGTTTTTGGTCCAAAAAAATGAAAAACCTTCATAATCATTTCAATTTGAAGTTATTAACCATGATATTGATTGATTCATGGTGCCTTAGCTTTTCACACTTAGGAAAACATTTCTTTGTCAGAAAAGTCTGTCAATAGAATTCAAAAGTGACTTTTTGCATAATAACAACAACAACAAAAACAGAGGTAAAGGCTGATTTCATTTTACTCTATAGAATTCCAGGCACAATATTTTAATTTTCAACATTTAAATCCCTAAAAATACATACTTTTTTTTAGAAATGTTGAGATTCCTTCTATTTTACCCTTTATATGAAGGTCTTAATCTTAGTACCAAAAGTATACTCAATTAAGAACAATTATGTGACTTTTCAGTGAATAATGTATTTTAGCAAGATCTTCCTTTTATGACCAATGTTTATTTATATTTTATACTTTTAACACTGTAACTGTGAAGCAGTTTTTCATCGCATCAGACTTTAAAGTGACATATCCTATGAAATGATTAAATATGACATTTTTATGCTAATGTAAAATATAAAGTGCTAATAAAAGTATAAGTGATATAAATATAAAATGACCAAGTTTCAATTATAGCATGTCATTCTACATGAATTGGACATTTTAATACTGTGACAAAACATGCTATCATGTTGTTTTAAATAAATAATATGCTTTCTCATCTCCAAGAAAGAGCTAAGTGAAAAACAAGAACAAAAAAAAATCAATCCAAGATAAGCTTTCCCATGCTGTTTTGACTATAACCATTAGCAGTGTTATTAATAAAGACTAACCAATTTTAGTTAGTTTAATTATAGCTATACAGATGACCTGAGAAGGAAATTTTTGACTGGAAGTTATAGTCTAAGTGATTTAAAAACAGCAGCTATTGACAGTCAACAAGCATATGAAAATATGTTCAACATCACTTGTAATAAGGGAGATGCAAATTAAAACCACAATGAGATACCACCTCACAGTGAGAATGGCACATCTTCAAACAACTAGCAACAACAAATGTTGGCGAGGATGTGGAGAAAAAGGAACTCTCCTGCACTGCTGGTGGGAATGCAAACTAGTACAACCACTATGGAAAAAAGTTTGGAGGTTTCTCAAACTGCTAAAAATGGAGCTTCCATATGACCCAGCAATCCCACTCCTAGGCATCTACCCAAAAGACACAAAAACACTGATTCAAAAAGATACCTGCACCCCCATGAAATCAACCCAAATGCCCAAAAGTAGACAACTGGATTAAAAAGATGTGATCCATATACATAGTGGAATATTACTCAGCAATCAAAAAGATAAACTCATGCCTTTTGCAGCAACATGAATAGAGCTGGAAGGGATCATGCTTAGTGAAATAAGCCAGAAAGAAAAAGAAAAATACCAGATGGTTTCACTCATAGCAGGAGCAGAAAGGACTGGGGATGGGGGGAAATAATAATAATGACCGGCTATATACCAGAGATATTTCACAGAGGTGGAGTAGGAAAATGGGATCAGAAATGGGGTAGGGGAGAAGTACAGTGGATTATGGTGATGGCACATGGGTGATTTGGTGATGGAAAGTCCACGGGGATTACACTGAGATGGAGAAAGGCACAAAATGATGTAAAAATAAACTATTAATAATAATAATAAAAAGCTGTTCTTTATGTTGTTACAGTCCTGGGGTATAGAAGTTAAGATTATCACCTTAGTTAAATCAGTCATTATAACCAGAATCCAGAATGTATATTATGTGACATATACATACACATGCACAATGGCAGATACTACTTGTTTCTCTTATTACTTACTTATTTCTTGCTTATGGAATATTTTCTTTAGGTGTCAGGTTGATGAGATTGTACTGACACATGGGAACTTTGATGTTTTCATCTCTCTGATTACGCATTTTAACAAGCTAAGGTCAGTTTTTTTTTTTTTTAAGATTTATTTATTTATGCACTCAATAACTGGGTACAGGCCAGAGGTGCAGGGGATGAGAGGATTCACCAGAGATGAACAGAGAGCAGAACAGGTAGACTGACTGAAATACACTGCTGAGGGGAGCAGCGGGTGGGTCAGGAGAGGTCTGCTGCGCCATGTGGGTCACCTCCCTGGCCAGGGATGGAACATGTGGGTCACCTCATCCCCTGGCAGGGGGAATCGAACTTGTGCTGCGGTGGCTGTGGATAACTTCATAGTGCTGAGACTTTAGCCCCTTGCACCACCAGGGAGGTCCCTAAGGTCAGTTTTGACAAGGTTAAGTTAATTGTTGATAGTAGGAGAGGAGAGGTAGAAGGAAGAAACGAAAGACAGGAAGTACTTCTAAATGTGCTGAAGCACAGTACAGAAATCCGACTGTATCACAGAAATTACCATAATTGATGGAAGAATGATAATAAAATAGCTGGCAATATCAGCTAAAGAACCATTAAGAGATAGCTAAATTGTTGGTCAAGCAGTTGAGATGTAAGTGTATGCTTAGAATTATTAAGATGAACTACAGCAGAAAGAGTTAAAAATTTCAGCTGTGGACTGTGTTGATACATTACATGATATAATTTTTGCTGTTTATGATAAAGTTTTATACTACTTGTCTTAACTTTTGCACATATTATTTTGATAAGAATACATATTTAGAAAATGAAAGTTACCATCTAAGTACATAGAAAGTAAATGCAAAATGCTTTTTGTATTTTTGTATACTAGCTACAGTGAGTATATTAGTAAAGCCTATATATTATATAGAACATTTGTCCAAATCATGGTTCCATCCTAACCAGTTGTATGACCTCAGTGAAGGTATTTAACGGCTCCAAAGAAAGACAAACACACCTAGAATTCACATTCAAGTTGGGATATAGAGATATACAAAACAAAATGAAATATACAAACAAAAAGGTACACTAAATAAACCCCAAAGTAAACATATGGACTATAAGGCCATTCAGTAGTTACTAAAAGGGAAGGGGGAGAGGCAGATAGGTAAAGTGGGAGAAAGTGTTATGGTGAGGATAGGTTTGCACTGTTAGCAGTGAACTAAATGTATTAATAATACATACATGGGCTGATTCTAAATGGTGCCTGCCCGAGACAAATGTATTAATTTATAATGCAATGTTAATTCAGTGAAAAAAAGATTTAGCTGCTCTGTTCTCAATTTCCTTAATTGTGTAATAAGAATGTAAAATACATATCATATAGGAATATTGTCAGGAGGAAATTATATTGCATAGTAGATATATTGAACCAAATGACAACAGTGTAATAAAGTCTACTCCTTATTTTGTTCTGATTTTAGTATTATTTTCATGAAACTATTACCTTTCTTTCATTTTAATTCCATCATTGCCTTTTCTATTTCCTTGTGTAACAGAACCCAACCCAAATAACATTTCAAGTTTAAGAAAGACAATTTGATCAAAATAATGTCAAATGCTGACAATTTGTCAAACTAAGAAAATATCAACATCATTAACAGCTTATGTTTCTCTGTCTTGGTTAATCCTTCTCAGACATTTGCCCAATTTATTTCAAATATTTATTGGAGTGACATCTTTACTCATTACTCAGATACCATTCATATGCTGATGCTTTCTAAATGAATGGCTTTTAGTTTTTTATTCTGAAATAAGGACCTAATGTTCAACTCTGTCTTCTTGCGTGCAAAGATCATTGAGACAGAGTCTTCATAGTTTGTGCTCCAGAAATGCTACTGAGTAGCGAGGTGATCTTGGGCAAGTCACTTAAATACTCTGTGCCTCAATTTTATCACCTCTGAATGATGTTGCCATATCACAGTGTTCTTTGAAGGATTAATGAAGTTTATGTTTTGGTTAAGAAGACAGAAATAAAACAAATGCATGCTTTTGTTGGAGACTTATTGGCCAGGACTTTCTCGGCCTGTCAGGCAGACTGATTGCAGACATACCCAGCTCTATTCCAATCAGTGGACCAATACAGCTTCAGTTATCAAGCAGATTATTAAGGCTTCAGGAATTGTTAGGCTTAAAACACAAGATAAATTTCAATGAATTCTATGAGGAGACAAGATAGGTTCTGAAATTTAGGAACAGGGATTGACTGATGAATGACTCTGCTTGGTGTGATACCGTCCTCCTGTTAATCTGTTTTCGTGTTCCCAGTTTTGGGGAATTCAGCAAAGAATAATGGCAGCAAATAGTAAAGGCAGCAAACCTTATTTGGAAGGTTGAGTTTTGGGCTGTAGCTTTGTGGTTTCGGACAAGTTATTCACCTGAGTGCTTATCTGTCTGCTGGATGATGGCAGCAGCAGCAACACCCATCTTTATCTTTACTCGGGTAAAGATAAAGAAGCTAATGTGAAATTTTTTAAGGTTTATTTTTTTACATCATTCTTCATTTTGTGCATTTTTCATCTCTGTTGTAATCCCTGTGGACTTCCTACCACCAACTCACCCGTGTGCCATCACCATAGTCCTGCGT